AACAACTTTGAAAACTTCACGGAGATGATGAATAAAGGAAAAAATACAATAAAGGGGCCGCCCTGGCGAACTCAGGTCTACCAGACATCATAAAATTTTATTATATGACGCGGCTTGCTTGGAACAAAATAATTACTGTAAACACTTAAAATTTCAAATTTACATTTTATTTAGATATTGCAAGATGAACCAGAATTCGGTTTACTAGTTAATAGCTTTTTACTTTCGTATAAAATTTTTTTCGTAATCATTTCCAAAGTTGTAAGATCTTTGATCCCAAAAAGAAATAAACCTAAATTAATAGGTAGAATTCATTATATGTATTTATTAAATTTCAGTGTAAACGTTACGTAGATTGAAAAACGACGTATACCATTTCGTAATCAGTATAAAATATTATCTCAGTGCAATTAAACTTACGCTAAAATATTAAATTTACATTTGTAGATTTGGTTGCTCAGTAGTGAATATTACGAATTGATCGCTCCTATATACTATGACTTGATATTCCTAAATATTATAAACTCGGACATTCTTAAATACTGTATTTTCGCGCGTGAGTTATTTTGAGATAAAGGCCGATCATCCGGCATAAAACAGTAAAAAGGCATTTACGTAATTAATTAATACACATTGACCTAAGCATGCGCACGCGCATGGGCGTCATTGTTCGAAGCTATGCATTTTAGGTAGTCCAATTTTGAATAAAGCTCACAAGTGTTATTACGCGAAAATGTGATAGATTAGGAATCCTTAAATATTCAAATTTAGAGATGCACACGTGACGACTTATTCATTATTCAACGTAGAAAAACAATGTCAAATCCATTGCAATTTCAATGCCGCATGTATGAGGCAAAATACCCTGAGGTTGACGACTTCGTTATGGTCAACGTTCGAGCATGTTGTTTTTTATTTGGTGTCTGTTTATATTGGAAATCTGGACTATTTAACATGTCACTTATAATGGATTATATCGGTTTATTTTCTCTTTGGTGATTATAAGTTTCAAGTAATCGATAGAAGACCTTGTAATTCGGGAAACTAGTATGATATATAATAATAAAAGAAATTGTATTCTGTTTTATTATTATTATTTTATTATCGTTAATATCGATTTAACATTTAATAACACGTAATTATTACCAATTTTATTACGTTAACAATAGGGAATTGTTATTGCCACCCCCATTTTTGTTAATGCCACCCCCATTTTTGTTAATGCCACCCCCTATATAACCCTAACCGGTCTAAAATCTTAAAAATTCTACAAATAGTATTTAGAAATAGTATGAATTCATGTA